TGATGCTGATGTTGTCTATATAAGTCTGAAACTGCAATCCACCTTAGATAAGGAAAACTTTTGCGGGAAACAGTTAAATGAAATACTTTGGCATTATGAAGTCTATTCATTTAATTGTGACAAACCCAATGCTCAGTCAGTAAATCATCTTGAGACCCAGGTTGACTCAAGTCCTTATTTAAAATACTGTTCTTTTTTGAACACTCATTCGATACATGTCATTTCATAGTTAGCTTTTATTTTGTAATGACTTGTTTTATAGCCAAAATTAAAAAAATTCCTCTTTTTATAATATTAACAAGATTTCTCATTAAATATCGCTCTAGTTTACCTACCATTAAGTCTTTTGGACTCCTTTGTAGCAATTTCTTGTGAAGATAGCCCTAGTAGACGTACTTATTATCTTTTTATTTAGTTCTGCAAAGTTTAATAGGAGATTTTTTACTACAAAGGGAGAAATATTTGTTGATCTTGACTTGCCATGTACACCTTTTCTTCTTTATCTTACTTTGGGGAGCAGTTTCCACCTCCTTAGTTGACTGTTTCACCCCTTCTTCTGGCTTTTTCATCAACGATTTGGCATGCGGATCAATATGGCGATCTCCAAACCGGCCAAGCAGTAGGCTGACTTGTGATAAAATCAATTCCATGAGCCCTAGCTTTAAAAACACTACCATATGCCCTTCCTCCAATTGTGATAAGATCCTTCCAATTGTAAAACCTTCTTTAGTCTGGATGAAAAGGACTGAACCTGCGCAAGAAGCAAGAGTAACAAATCTCACCAGTTCCAAGGCGGCTACATCAAGCAGATCGAAGAGGGTGGCAAACACAATCGGCTCACTTGGCTATCTGAGTATGTCAGATATTAGTTGCCTAGCCCCTGAATCTGATGTTTCAATTGCCTCTTTTCTGTATTCCTCGGCTTCGGAAAATATTCCTTCTTCGCCTAAACGACTGGGCCAGGCTAGGCGACAGGGTCCAAGCCTATCATCTGCGTTCATTTCATCGTCGTCTGCTGAATCACCTTTATTTAATGCGGTAATTCCTAATGCTCGTGGTCCGTCGGAAGAGGACGGACAATTTTCCATTATGCAGACCAATAATCAACATAGTCATAGGGAACAAGGAACACAACTATATAAATCCGTTGAGTCACTACGCTCATTTTCTAGCCCTCCAATTCCGTCTGCAAGCACAGGTTTACGAAAAACTATTCTTCACCGATTAAAAAGCTCCACTTGCTCTTCAGCCAGTCCGCCAGTAACTAAGACAGTTTTGTCCAACGTGGATTGGGTGAACTCCAATGCTATCAAGTGGCCAAAATTGTCATCACCATCACCTAAGAGGTATGGGATAAGAAGTTCGTTGTCTTTTGTCTATATTTCTTACCTTTATCCATTCCTCTAGTCGTGGCGTTTCTATTAGATTTTCCTACTTTAAAAAAATTTCTTTTATAAGCCGAATATAGACTCAGCAACGAATCTTACGAAAATTATTATAGAAGTGGGTTGACCTCGTTGTCGCAACTTTGTCTTGTGA